TCATGTAAAAATATTTAGCAGTGGGAATTATAAAATCATAAGGAGATTAAGTTAGCTAGTTGTGAAATTCTAATATTGCTTTTTAAATGACTTCAGGATATAGGCTATGTGCTAAGGTTATTATCTGTTATCAGGAATACAGTGGAATTGTATAACTGGATAATAACTAAACAACTGACACAATGTAAAATTACATTATCAGTGTGTTAAAACAAAATTGCACCCTAAAGGAGTCTACATGCCAGCTCAGAGCTGCAGTGTAATTATGCTTAACTCTGATAATTAAAATACAACGGAGATCAACAGAATCATTTTCATTAAGAAAATTATTAATGATGGTGGTATAATGGTAATTGATTGCAGAGCATCACAGGATAACGCCATGCAGTATAAACCAACATGTTTTAATATATGTCTGAGACTATTTTCATATGGCACATACGGTTGAGAATGTTTGAAATTAATATAGAAGCAATGAGATATATTAAAAATGGGAAATCATAAAATGGCTGTTTTTAGAATACCTCTTTTTAAAAAAAAAAAATACAAATCCTCAAGTATTTCAAGAATATATTGCATTATGGATCAATGTTCTGTGTGGTGCAATAAAAATAGCCACTGGCTGCATCAATTACACAGCAGAAGTAAACAGAACAAATATTTCTCAAGCCTTCTGTCATTTCATTTCATGTTCCGCATTGATCGTTTTTACATTTGTGATCATGATTTACTGATATTATTTTGTTTTCTATCTAGCCTCACCAAGCAGTTTAAGCCTTTATTATTGAGACGATGCAGAAGACAGTGTTAGTGCTTTTTCCACTGCTGTTCAATGTATGTTTAATGAAATATAAGTGGATAATTCTAAGTAAATAATAATTGATAATTGGCTCAGTGGTGACAATTTATGTGTGGTCTCATGTGCTGTAAAATGTCCAGATCCTCTTCTTTTGAAATCTGATGTCTCTTGATGTTTGAGCTTTTTAAATAAAACCATTTTTTAAGTATGTGTACATTTTCAAGAATGCATGTCTTTTCCCTGATTTTCTTTTTTCCTTTCATCTTGTGTGTTAACTAAATTGTAAACTATACTTTGGCTAGGTACTACTCAATTATCTTCCATGACCACAACATATAAATAGTACCTTAAGAATATGTCATAGTACCAATACTAAGAGCAGTAGTAAACAGAAATGTGAATTAAATTCATGGTAAAGAGAATTTCTACGGTAAAAATGGCAAAACACCCAAATGGATACATTTATAGGAGAAACAATCTTTAAGAAAGTGCAGGCCCATTAAATACAGGACTTGGTAATTTGCAACAAAAATAAAAATTTCATTACGTATAAGACATCTACAATAAAACTTAGTCATACAGTATATAATGACATCTGTTAACATTATCCTTTTGCAACATCTGTCTGTCTGTCTATTTATCTATCTTTGATCTGAATGGACACCAAATCAACATATGATTCTGGGCAGTGAGCAGCAAATTAAAAACAACAATAAAAGCATTAACAGAACCAGAAATACATCAAACATTGATGTTTACTCACTCACATTAGTAAATGTCTTTCTATTCAATACCAATACCTGCTAAAAAGATTTTCCAAAGTTGCTGAAGCTAAACTAGGAAATCTGGGATAAAGATTTCAGTATTTTTGTTAATATGCTAATCAAAGGAACTTGAATGATTCTAGGAGAGATGCTATGAAACGCATCCAATAAGTAACTGGTACTTTTCATTAAAAAAAAAAAAAGTTTTGTATTTTCAAACAACTGAGCATGTACTACATTTTATGAATACAGGATCACAACTTTATTGCAATTAGCAATGACTAAATCACACCCAATTTCCTTACTGGGTTAGCCATGATGCTTAACCTTTTGCTGAAAGACTTGTACCAAAGGTAAAGTTTCAAGTTTCTTAAGCAAACATCAATAGAGTCTGAGAAACAATATGCTTTCACCAGCAGAACGATAGTCTGAAAGATTTTCAAAGGGACAAACACAGTTAGAATGCTTACTGAAAGTAGATATATATTATGCAGACCAGGTTATTTATTACATGTTTTCTGTTGTTTTATTTCCTAAGCAACTCCTCCGGAGGGCTGCCAGATCAGCATGAGTGCGCAGTGGAGATCTCTGTGCTTTCCATAAACAGATGGAAACCTTCTACTCAGAGATATAAATCTAATCTAATTTAGAAATGAATCAAATGATCCAAATTTCATTTTGAGGGTTACATGGATATCACTACGTGGATTAGACAATATGTGAACTGAATTTCAAAACATAAGAACAGCCCTATAAGATCAAACCAAGTTCCATAAAACTCAGCATTTTATTTTCCACAAAAAACAGCCTATTCTTCCTAGAAGCCCATAAATACAGTTTGAAGTCAATGACTACCATTCTTATACTGCACTGGCATATTGCCTCCAGATCTGGTGATTCACTTAGATATTATCGCTTAAGGACAGTAGATTACCCAGTAGGAATGTCAAAACTACCCAATGCAGGTGTTGTCACCATATCCAGTTGCAATGAATTTTGCCATGTCTAACTACGAAATTTGATTTTTTAATGTCTTCCAATTTTATTGAATCCTGCAGAAAAGAGATGATCCATTCACTTTCATGAACAGCTCAGTCTTACTACATGCATAATACATGAGCTAGTGAAATTTCCTCATTAGTACCATTTCAGGCTGCATTTTAACCAAATGAAAAGCAACTTCCATATAATAATGCTGATGTTACGATGAAAAGTACATTTTTTTAAGTAAAAGGGATTTTCATACCCAAGCACTTAATAAAACATTTCATCAACCTTAAGTAGTACAGTCTAAGACCAATGTTATCACGTTATCTGCTTTGGGGATAAATTAAGAAATTGACAGCCTTATCACTGCTGGATCAGATTCTAAGACATGACAGTGTAACAGAACCAATCGTTCAAGATCCATATCCTAGTTCCCATGTGTGCCTTGCCAAAACAGGAGTAGGTAATTATCTGAAAAAATGTCCAGAAGTCTAGTAATGAAAATTATATGGCTTAAGTTTTATTTTAGACTGTGGTAGCAAAAGTTTTATATAAATTTCCATTAATAACTTATTTAGATATGTAAAGATGCATACTGAAAATTTAATGTGTGCTAACATTTTACTATTTTATTTTTACTCTGCTGTTAAAAGAATGAATCACAGCAGACTTCAGAAAGATATAGATTCTTCCTTTTTAGATCTGGGTTTGTTCCCTTAATTATTTTCAGGTTACAAACTGTGTGTGTGTGTGTGTTTGTAATTATATAATAAAAAGAATGCATAACATCCTGATGTGCAACTACTCATGTAAATTCTATTTTCAATATTTCAGTTTTCAAAGGCTTGTCTTAGTCTAAAAGCAATTCTCTTATAAATGTACAATTTGCAATGATTATAAGAACAAGATATAATTGTTTCTAGTAAGGTTTAATAGCCTTTGATGTTATGATTGGCTTTGTATGTTAATACAGCGATATGGGTTCTTATATGCCTGGACAATTGTACACTGAAATGGTCACAAGCTTGTTACAACAAACAAATCTTTCATCTTTGCAGGGATTTCGGTTAGGAACTTCAAAAAGCAACTTCAAAAAAACTGTCCTGGAATTCTTCAATTTCAGAAGTAATCACAAACACAAACACAGAATTTATAGCACTTGAAACCTGAGACTTGTTGAAAATACTAAAAGTAAGGACGGAAAGAAATACATCAGAATCATAGAATGGAAAGGTTAGACACAACACTGGAGAACATCTGCTCCAAACCCTTTCCCAGTGCACAAACTCACTACTACCACATGATTAGGATAATAGCTAAATACATAACGCTTTGGTTGAATATTCAAGTATCATAGATCCACATTACGTAGCCCATATTCATATTAAATATGCACCTTTTTCTCCCAAACCTGACCACAACAAATCTGATAAGAATGGAAATAAAATTCAACCTAGTAAGGAATAATTCCCAGAGTTTTATCCCATTGTCCCATTGTTTACCAATGGTTTGCTTTTGCTCCAAATACTCTTCCCCAATAGCATCTTAACTCAGAATTTCTGCTACTTATTCATTCCCCCACAAATCACAATGTCTAGAATCCCACAGCATTCTGAAATCCTTCCCAAGTTACACTGCAACTGTAAGACTGCATCTATCCTCTGGTGAACCTGTTTAAAGCCACATTCTTCTTGTGACCCACCTCTCATTTTTTAAATCTACACAGTGGAAAACAGTTATACTCCTGCATTCTACAAAATAGCGTGGGGTTAATCCACAGGAACCGTTTTGTTTAGTTATCTTTACACATGATGACTCTTATGTTCAGCAAGCCAAAGCTGGAGTCCCCTCCCCAATCACTGCAATCCTTCATTTTTCAGAATCTTGGGAATCACTGTTCTCACAATAACCTTCCCCAAAACAATGCAATTGTTTCCATTGCATTTTTACTTACTTGTCAAAAGTGGTAACATTTTTTATTTCTATTAGGTTAAAACTGTTACTGGGTGAACCTCTTTTAAAAACTCAAAAGAATGTTCAGAGTAGACTTGTGGCTTCATACAATGCAGTAAATTTACCTTAAGTTAGAAAAAAGAAGAATGAAGAAGCTGCTGCATTTGTACAACCACACTTGAAAACAAAGATCTGGGAGGTATCTGGACAGCAGCTTAGATTGCAAGTGAAGTAGGCAAGCTGTTTATATCAGAAATGCATCAGGTAGAAGAAAGATCTATGCCTTTAACATGTTCTGTTTGAACACTAAATTATATTATTATGCCTCTGTTTCATGCTCATTCAGAAAACATCCCTTTCTTAAGGCTATAATAAAGAAACGTGAGCTACTCATCTTTGCTGCCTTGTATTTGCTGCCTATTATCAAGGAGCATGTTCCTCCAGCACTGGGTTAATTCCTTGCAAAGAAGGAGGAAGAAAAATTAGCTTGGGTTTACCTTTGCTGTACACAATGCAGTTGTTTTTGTTGTCTTCCATTCCTTGCCAAGTCATATCCAGCAACCATTTGGGGCCAGCAGTCACCACCATGGCGACTGGAGCCTTTGCCTTCTGGAAAAAAGAAGGTAACAAACACAGACCATTAGGCTTGGGTTGATTAAGAAGTTGAACAAAAATAGTAACAATAATAATTTTATTTGCCCACTAACTTGATCTCCAAATCCAGAAACCCTTATTCCCCAACTGAAGGAGAAGGGCAAGGGCAAGACGAAGAAGAACAAGAAGAGCAGGAGGAGAACGAGAAGAAGGAAGAAGGCTAATACTTTGATAAAAGTGAATGGCAGAATTATTATCCAGGATTTTTCTGAATGATAGCCCTGGATCAGATCTCTGAGATTAGACCCATCTCTAGTGGCTTAGAATTATAAAGGGAATGTAGGTGACTTTCACAGCAAAAAGCCAAGTGTTTAGAAATGAACTTTAGACACATTGTACTTCATTATCAACAGGATCTCTATTTCCTGAAACAGACAGGAAAGAATTTAAAGAATCAGTATCCATTTCAAAGCCTGAGTAACATTTAGGTTTGGTGGGAAATTATTCTGAATGGATAATGTATTTTCTCTCTTTTTTTCCTTGATGGCTGTTGATGTGCCGCTTTACTGTTGCTGAAATAATAATGATTATAAACTTCAAAAGAAAACGTAAAATTAGCAGCCAGAATGAATTTAAGTGAAGACCAAATAAGAGAAGACTGCATGATATGCACCCTGATTTACAAAAGACAAAGGCAAAAAGGCACATGTTAGTTTAAAAAGCATTTCCTTGAAATGTTTTCTGTGGTGCAAGTTAGGACAGAAAAATTCAAATCATTTGTGCTCAAGTTCACTGCTAAATCTAGATGCAAGGAATGAATTGATCTAGAATTTAGAAAGGCTTATCCCCACTGTTTTTTACAATGATTGTTAGTAAAATGCCATTTAGACAGTTATCATTAATCATTCCTTGTTCTGCATATCAAACATCTTGAGACTATAATTCAAAGTGCAAAGTAAATGAAAAGGATCTCTAGGTAATAATCTACTAGTTTTTCTTTTTTTAATGTAGATAAGGTCTTTTTCCGGAAGCTCCAGACCTGTCTTAGAAATACTGTTGCAGTTTCTATTACTGATCTAGAAGTTAGAAGCATAAAGTTAAAGCTTAATCCTGTGGGGCCACTGTACCAGCAAACTTAGATAAGCAATGAGATGCTATGACCAGAATTCACACATACACAAACATAGAACAATTACAAATTAATTAACACTACTATATCAGCAGGTAAATAAAAAATCAACCCAATCTAAAGGCCAGATTGAAAATGAAGATCTTGACTTCTTTTCTATAGGCAGCAAGAGGCATGGGCAAGGGCTTGGAAACAGGGCATCCGTGGGGAAAGAGGGGTCAAAAAATCAAGGTGGCAGCTGTGACCTGCTCCTTTTTACAGGGTTTTGATGGCTCAGGGTTTTGACTGTACAGTCACTGAAGCCGTCTCAACTTGCCATAGTACACTTGAGAAATGAGATTCTAAAATTGCTATTCGGTATTCATTCAAAAGAAAGGCAAGTTTTCCCTCCTAATCTTTTATTTTTAAAGTAGGGGGAATCATGCTAAATTTACTGAGAATATAGTAACAGAAGTTGCCAATTCTTTTGAATGGAGGGGGTCATCTTAAATTCAGAGTTTTCTCCTTTCTGATAAATACAGCAGTTCTATCTTTTATAATGTCCAATATAATATTCCATCCCTGGGCATTAAATAAAGCTAGTATTATCATATTTTCAGCATAACTGGAACTTAACATTTTCACATTCACTTGTGGCAACTGAAAGAAAAGAAGTTTTTTTTTACCATTATGAGTCTGTTGATAAAAAGCTCACGTTACTAGAGCTTTATAAACCAGACTTCCATGATTAATAATTTCTTCAATAACAGAGTTACTGAATACATAAGGCTTGATGTATTCATTTAAAAGGAGGGAACAAATCCACATATGTGCAGATGTGTTATCACATTTGAAATGAATGAGTTTCAGTTTACTTTTGTAAACTAATTTAACAAATTTGCACTTCCTAAATCAATACACTAATTAGAACACAGTTAGTCTTTGGTAATTGTGCTCAGAATTTTGCAGTAAAATAATCTAGGACTGTGTAACTCCTTAAAAATGAGGTGCTTGAAAGCATACAGGAGCGCATATGAAACATTGGTTTCTGAATCATTAAAGTGGCAGCTGCAACTATGCAATTTAAGCCCTGCCCTTTTTTTATGCCTTATGCATGCAACACATAAAAAAACAGGTGGAGCTTCTCTCATATGTCTCATATGATCGCCATCTTGACTCTTTTGACCCCTCCCAGGATGCCCCCTCCAGCTGAGTCTTTTTCCAGGTTCAAACAGCTGTTTTAGGAACCACTTTTGGCTTCCCCTCATTCTTCTCTTTCAAACGATTTGCAAAATCCTTTTACAAACTAATTGATCACAAAAATGTGTAGCCAAAACAAAAGTATACACAATTAGGTACATAGTCCTGAAAACAACTATATAAAATAGTATTATAATGAGAGAACATGACTGCAAAAAATCTATATTGGACCAAAAATGTGCACAAAAATGAAAAACGTAAAAAGAAATATGTTTTAAAAAGGTTTCATGATTATTTGGTGTGCACTGTTAACAAAAATCATAAACTGATTTAAAAAGGAGGCAAAATATGTATGTGTTGAAAAAAATGAGATGTTGAGAGATTTATCTATCCCTAATTAAAAATTCGTACCTGTGAATCAGGGCTTTTGTTTGGATAAAACAACAAACTAAATATATATCATGCTTTGTTTAAGGAGGGACTCTTTTAAGTTTTATTTCAATTTAAGCTCACCATTTTCTAATATAATGTGCATGGAGAAGGCAGAATTGTGCATGAGACAAGAGCCATTCCTGAGAAGCTAAATTTCAAGCTATCAGATTATTTTCAAAGATAGTTCTGACTGAATTTTGGTGGGTAAAGGAAGAGAAAAAATTAATTTAAGATCTTAGGATTTAAGATTTCTTTTAAAATAGTCCCCATAGTATTCTGACTTTTGGACTGGGGAGTCATGGATCTCCAGCAAGACTTGTTTTTTTCCCCCCTTTCATCAATCTTCATGTATTTTCCTCCTAATTGAAACTGAGCACCTATCTTTAGGAAACCCACTTACACACAACTTGATCTGGCTTTCAACTACATGGAGCAAAGCTCTCTATATTATTTGGGCTGTGGGGAAATAAAAGTTTGAGCACTAATGTTGTAACATCCTGGGAATATGGGCTATTCTTTCATCTTATTGTGGTAAAGGTTAGCTGGTCATTTCCAGCACTCATAGTGACATTTGCTGCTGGAATTATCTTTATGTTATGATCTGTTCTTTTCAAAGGAGATCAAGACTATAGACAACCTAACCTAGACAACCTATTCTCATGTTCAGCAACATAATTAAGAAAAAAAAGTTTTACTATTTTTTTACTCAAATATATACATAATATCAAAGGTTTACTTGTGGCCTCCACATCAAAAACCTATATTAAAATTAGCAACAGTAAACTGGGATACTATAAAATATCTCAGCAATCAACTTCACTAACACTGCTTCTGATTTCCAAACCTGTTATTAAATAAAATAAAAATAAGGCCTTTACCAGTGCTTTACCAGATGGATGGATGGATGGATGGATGGATGGATGGATGGATGGATGGATGGATGGATGGATCAGACAGAAAGCCATCTTGTGGTCTGTCTGCCATGTCTGTTTCAGATGCTTTTTTCCCCAAAGCACCTAGATTTCTCTATTATTAACTCAAGGGTTTTTTTTAAAATAAATTCTCTCTCTTAAATCTCCCTCTCTCTTTATAAGCTTCTAATGTATTTTTCAGTGTAACCTTTCTTGTAACAACTCTGAATGCCAAATCTTCAAAATAAAAAAAGCGTATTTTTAAAAATAAATTAGAAAAGAACTAACAACCTCTAACTCAAGTTTCCTATGACATCTAATCTAATTCTAAACGTAACAAAATCAGAATAGATTAAAAAAACAGAAACTGACATCAAATACTTACAACAGAACATAAATGTGACACATATCTTCTAAATTTTAATCTAAGATAACAAACCTTTGATCTTTAGTATTAATCGTGCTTCATGTAACAAAACCAGAATATATTTCAGTACTTCTTTAAATATTTTTCAATTATTCAATTTCAGTATCAGACCAATTGGACAAGGGCAGGCAAGGCCAAAAGTGGATCTCTAAGGGAGCAATTAGAATCTGCTAATGAGGATAAGAGAGGTTAAGCAGATACCTGCTTTTCACCAACCTTTCAAGTAATTCAACAAACAAGTGAGGTAACCCTCAAGGGCTGTTTATGAAGAGTCAGAAGGTTAATGGAGATAAAAATAGCCAGTAAGAAGCTTGACCATTCTTTCACTTTTCAGTTTAAAAGGAATCATTCATAATTCAGTCATCTTAGATAAAAAGTACATCTTGTTCTAGTCAACATCTATTACTCATGATGCTTTGCGTACAACATCATAGTTTTCTTGGAAGCAATACAAAATAGTTTGCCACTACCTTCTTCCAGAATGTTTTTCAACTGTTTCTTTTCCTGTAGATTTTGTCTCTCCTGCGTCTCCCATTCAAACAGAAACCAAGACTGTCCTCATTTAGCCATGGCCAGTTAGGTGTTGCCACATTGCCCCAAAACATACTCCTGACATTCAGGAAATCATAACTTATTTTTCACAGAATCAACCAAAATTCCTTAACCCAACAGGACCACAGTTACTCATTTTCCTTTTTTAAAATGACACTCTCTGAAGAAAGAGTCAGTCTTGCCAGAGTGTAAACAACTGGTATGAATGGCTCAAGCAATGTAAAGGAAAAAAAGTCAGGGCCAGAAGAAAACCTAAATTTAAGTTAAATGTAATTAAAATCAAATTAATGAAATACAGTGAATACAATCAATTTCAATGCTTTCATAACTGTGCCTATTACCTATCCTATTAAAAATTATAATCTAATGGTAGTTTTTGAAGGCA